CTTTACAATCTTTGAGCAGGAAGGTGAATAGGAGAATATAATAGGATGCAAAAGTGGCCAAATTTGATGAAAGGCAGAGAAATTCATTGAAAGTCTCTGAGATTAAGAACAGAGTTTAGAGTTTGTCTGCACTCATATACCACTATTCTGGGTGGGAAGTGCTGCATAATAGTCATGATGTAAATAGTAGTTATTTTGTGGTACAGCTGCCAAATATCAGGTACCCTTTTGGGTACTTTGTGAGTATTAACAAATTTAATTCTTACAACAATCCTTTGTGGTAGTTTCTGGTCATTGTGTTTCATAGTAATCTTATAGTAAGAGGTACAGACAAGTTAAATAACTTACTCACTTCAGCAGGTAAGTGAAGTTGAATATAGTCATCTGAGCTTGTGCCCTGGATGAAGGGCACACCTTCTGTCTGTGGACATATCTGAGGGCTTCAAGGGTTGGAGGGCAACTTTTTGATAACATGAAAGAACAAAAAGCAATTGCAATGATTGGAATTGTCATGGACTAAGGACCAGGTTCTTTCTTGTTTTTCTGGAATAATATAAGATTTTTGTCTCCAACTGAGAAAAGTAATCATAATAATGACTGGGATTGGATTCTCTGACAGCTAGGGAGATGGAAGCCTGCAGCAGAACACACTAAATCCTATATTCAACCATTTCTTGGTGTCCTTGCTGGTTGTTTAATAGACATAGCAAATTAAATTTGTCCAAAATTTGCCTCTTGACTTTCCTTTCAAGTAATTTCTTCCTTTAGCTTTTCCACCTCAGTTATGGCATTCTATTTTTCCAATAGTTCAGTTCCAAACCTCAGATTAGTCCCTGACTCGTCTTTTTTTTTCTTACTTTCTGTATGTAGGTTTTCAGCAAATCTTCTTGAAGTGCCTCTGTTAGAATCTGGCTGTCTCTCATTGTTCCTACTGATACTACCCCGGTCCAAGTCACCACATATCTTAAATTATTGCGCAGCCTTTGGACTGGCTCCCTGCTTCTCAGCTTAGCTTCCGCTATTCTATTTTCAATGTAGCAGCTGGACTGACTTTGTTAAGCCCAGATCACATTATGTTGCCCCTCTGTCCAGAATACTTCAGTGCTGTTCCTTTCACTCAGAGAAAAGCCAGTGTTTTAACTATGACCTACAAACCATATGGCATTACCACTTTCATCCTTTTTCATTTAGCTTCCATGAAAAGTGCCTTCTTGCTTCTAATATCAGTCTGAGGGCTCTTGAGTCCTAAAACTTTGCTGTCATCTCTTTGTGGAAAATTATTCTTTAAGTTATTGGCATGGCTCATTAATCTCACTTCCTTCTCCTTTCAACTAAAAGTCACCCTTTCAGCTGAGGAATTTCTAGGCACCTTGTCCAAAATTTAATGTCCTTACTCCTTCACCTCCTACTCCCTTCCTTACTTGTCTTTTCCCCCTCTTTGGAACACAACATTATCTATTATATATTTTATTTACCTACCATGTATATTGTCTACGTTTTTTCTTGAAAGCTAGTCTCCATGAAGATAGAATTATTGTTTTTTGCATCATTGCATTATCTCTAGCACAGTGCCTTTCACATGGTAGGCACTTAGGAAATTCATTGTGAATAAATGATTTTTAGAGAACTAATGGAATGTGCTGTGTCTTGCACCTTAAGGAAGTATATAAAATTTGTAGTCACTGCAACAATGTATGGATTATAGTGGAAGTTAGTTAAAGTTTTATCTAACCTTAACAGTAGGTAGATGGATGAATAAACCGGCATTACAGTCCAAATTCCCAAAGCATTTAAAATATGTGGTATAAAATGAAGATAATTTATCATTTGATTTTTCCATTTGACCTGGACGCACAGGACTCTGTGCTTTATTTATTTATTTTGAATTGATTTGAGCTGGTGTGGTGTCCAGGTAATTGATAAGTCCTTTGATTACTCATTATTTCTTAGTTATTATGTCACCTAGGCTGATATATTTAATTTCTGCATGACCATTGTGTAGACTGGACCAGTGGCTGAGGGTCTGGTACACTGGTGTGGATCGATACAGGAATATTATTCAACTTACTGCTTTAGAGATCTTTCCTATTGTGCAACTCTATATACTTATTTTATTACTGACACTTATATGAATGCCTTTTAGGGTAAAAAAATCTGCCATAAAATATAAAAATACAAGTGAAAACAGTGATTTCCCCAAGGAGTCTATATTTCTACCTTAATTTTGCATATTATTACCTCTGCATTCCATGAGAAAAAGAAAAATTTAGGATTGCTGTGGACTCAAGTCACTACATAAAAGGGAGGGTCATGTTAATAATTAAAATTACTCCAAAGAAAGACATCTAGAGATTTCAAAAAGTAGAAGTCTTAGAGTACAAGAGTCAAAACTTGGATGGTCTGGAAAAGGGATTTAATGGTTAAGTCAGAGAAAAGAAATAATTTAAATTGAATGGTAGATTTCAGTTTGTTTAATTTAGAAGTGTATACTTGTGCACACGTATTCTCTTGGTGCTGAAATTCATGATGGGAAGTCTATTCATTGACTAGGCAGAAGTGAAAGCCAAGAGAGCAACAAATATGTAACCATCTCAAACATGCAAGTTATGGTAATTTTAGCTCTATAAAAATTGAATTATTGACTTTTAAAAATGGTAAGTCAAAATAATTGGTGGCAAAAAACATTCTTTTAAAATAAGAAAACAGGATGACTGATAGGCAGGATAATGTTTCCTTAAACGTACTCACATTCTAATCCACAGAACCCCTGATTATGTTACCTTTTCAAAAGGTACTCTGTAGATGTGACTAAATTAAGAACCATGAGGAGAAGAGATTGTCCTGGACTGTCTGGATGGAATGGATCACAGAGTCCTTATAAGTGGAAGGCAAGAAGGTCAAAGATGTAAGTACAGACGCAGAAGTTGATGTGGCCACATCCAGGGAACACAGGCTGCTCTTGAAGAAGGTAAAGGTAAGAACACAAATTGTTCCCTATAGCCTCTGGAAGGAAAGCAGCCTGCTGACCCATTTTAGACATATGCTCTCCAGAACTATCAAATAGTAAATTTGTAATGTTTTAAGTCCATATATTTATGGTAATTTATTAGCAGCAGCAATAGGAAACTAATATATGACTGGAAAGTGAATTTTAAGAATTGTGATTGAATCAAGATCATTTCTACAATTTTGTCTTTTCCTTCTGTTATGGGTTGTATCTAGATGTCCCTCAAAGCTTCATGTGGTCATGAGATGGGGGCTTTTCAGAAATGATAGGATCTAGAGTGTGTGATGCTGGGATTGAGGCTGTGTGATTACTAAATTAGTCTCCACTGATTGGTTTGGCATCTGTGTAGGAATAAGTGAATCCTGCATTGAGTGTGAGTGCTACCCATCCTTAGGGTTCAATATAAAGGGACAGAAAGTACCTGTTGTTTGTCACTTGCTTCTTGCTGACTTCTGCCTGTCATGAATTGCTTCTCCTCTGTGATGCCCCTCGGCCATGCCACCCTGCCTTGGATCCAGTCAATACCAAAAGCACTACAAAAGTGAGCCAAATAAAGCTTTTCTCCTTTAATTTTGAGTGTCAGGTATTTTGTATCAGCAATGAGAAAAAGTAGCCAAGACACCTTCCATCTAATTTTGTGTACTAATAATATACAATCTATATCTCTTCTGATTAATAATACCTGGAGGCTGTGATAATAACTGTCTGGATTCAGAAAATGCATTTTATGCCCAAAAATATCAGATATGTGTTCTGAATGACCTTATAGTCTTTGTTCAGTGTTTACCTTTTTATGTACAGCTAGCTGATAAATGAATAAATAGTCTAAATGGTCAAAAAATTCCTTTTGAAATATATAGAGGAAAGGGAGACACAGGAGAAAGAGAGAGTGAAAGAGAGCAAGAGGAAGCTTTCAGGAATTTTGCAATTTTCATTAAGTTTTAAACACCAATATTTTCAGCCTCATTCTTGTGACAAAGTGTGTAACAAAATCAGGAAAAATGGTATTGCTTGAATCCAGTTTTGAGTCTGAGACTAGAATAAGAATGGACAAACAGTATGAAGTCTCTGTACTGTTTTTACAAGTGATTCTCATTAAAGTCTGAAGAGTGTAAAGCCACTGGGTTCCTTCTAAGATATTGTCCCCCTACTGTTATATTTCTTCCAATGAAGCCCATCTGTAAGCCTTTGCAGGATGTTCATGACATGCATTTAAATTGCCTGTTGTGTTTCAGAAACCTCTTCTTCCTGCAAACAAGTGGTGACCTCTCTGCTCCATGTTCATTCAAGAGACAGACACTGTACATCATCCCAGGCAGGCAGCCAAATGAAGGCCATATCCTGTTCAACGCAAAAATACACATTTTCGTTAAACTGAGATAATTACAAAAAGTAGCATAGAGGAATATGAGTAATTTCATCAGTAATTACAGCAATTATACCCTTAATTATCATGCCATCTCCATTCTCTCTCTGTCTCTCTGTCTCTCTGTCTCACTCTCTCTCTCTCTCTCTCTCTCT